CTTTATTTAGGTTCCGGCATTTAATTAATAAAACTTTTTAATTGCTGTTAACAATTGCCGTGAATGATACTAAAGTGCTATCGAAACGGATCAAAGTAGATCTAGGATGTGTGAATAACCTTGAAGAATTTGATGACACGCCATAGTGGATATTCCAGTCAGAGGGTAGCATCACGACTATCACTGACGATGAGACTCCCCATCTGTTTGGCTTTCATGTATGGAAGAGGAGGCGGGGATGCAATGAATGGTGGAGAGGTTGGTGGAGGGGGACATGACGAAGGGCCACTCGGCACCGGCAGGACGCCAGACCCGCATCGTCCGGTCGGTCGAACCGGACTCAAGAAGAAGTGCTGCCTGACACTACAACAACACAACCATCATCCACACGCCCCCAATGTGACTTGGGAGCCAAGCCAAACTTTTATTGACCGTGTTATCCCATACACAAATGCTAGAGTCATCAGAGGCGATTGTTGCCCACTCTTCGTACACCTTGAGGCAGGCGATGATGCGGTCCATCTGCGTCTGCAACGTTTATGCACTTCATTTATTGCGCTAACATGGCTTGAGATGAGATAATGAGGACATGGGCTTGGATGCTACCAGCATTCGAAATGTCGTGAAGTCGAACGAAACACAATATTTCCACTAACCGAATGACAAGAAGCTACATGCCTGATGACCTGGCAAATACCTTGATAAATTCAGAGCCGCAACGTCAGTTGCATTTGATGTGATGGTCCTGCAGAAAGCCGCCTTCCATGTAAGTACACAATTTAGGAGAGGATTAGAGAGATTCTAAATGAAGTTGCAGCACGCAAAGAGATCAACTCAATTTGATTATTGGGACCGATGTATTCGTCGAGCACTTGTGACTGCAAAGTAAGATGCAAATGGCCCCTAGACCATTATTTGGATGTATTCAACCGACGACAAATGCGTCTCCTCGAAATAAGATCGCTGCTGAGCGCACGCCAGTTGTGAGATACCTTAAGTAAATAAACTACGGAATGACAGCACAGATCACTTATTCGACATAATACCATATTACCCTCCAAAAATAACTCCGTACCTAAAGTAGTCTGGTGAATGACGCAGGAGAAAAAAGCAATCAAACGTCAGCTGAGCGCAAAATGTTATGAAGCCAGATGACGCTAAATACAGAGTATTTCACAGTGTCGGCGAGCGAAAGTGAAACGATTTCACGGATTAATTGTAAAAACCCATTAGGGAGGATGTCGATCGGCGATATTATATAAGTCAATACCTCGGAAAATGTAAACAATGGTCTTTGTCACATTGAGTGAGTGCAATCCATTTCCAATAGTCGTCAGTTGTTCTCGATTCTCAGTTGACGGCACCCATAAGCACTAGCACACATGGGTGCAATAAAAGGGCGGGCCACGGTGGCTGCTCCCACACTCACAAACCACTCTGCTTGGCCACTCTCACATTGGACCAGTAGGAAGTTATTTTAGACGGAGAGTAGTACACACTTCCCAACATTCATCAACACATTTGCGCAGAATAGTGTGGCAGGGACAGTCAAGAACCTGCACTCGGAGTCCCATCGACCGATGAATTCTTACGTATGCCTCAGGTATATGAAAGTAGAATTGTAGATAAGAGACGCTACGCATACCTTTGTTAGTAGAGCCATTAACGATTAAACCTGACAGTCGAATAAACCTAGTTGGAGCTAAGGAATTAAACGCCACCCAGACGAACCCCAGATCACAATGAAGAATCAGAAGCTTATTCAGGATAAAAAGACTAAGGAAAACGATGAGGTAGATAGAAACAACATTTATTGCGTTGGCAAATATGAGGAGGATTAGCAACAAAAAGTGACGTGAGTAGGGGAATGTACAATTGCCATACCCAAATTGAAATGGACGGTATGAATAAATTCGCCGCCCACTGGCAATGCTCAATTAATAGCAGGCCTCTACTAAGGTGAGATATCTTAGTGGACACCAGAGAGCAAAAATAAAGTCCACGAATTGGCTTGCTTGTGCAAGTTCTCGGTACCAAGGAGAAAAAAATGTACTTGGGCATGCTTGAAGAAACAAGACGAGAAAAAATTATCATGGGATGAAAATTGCGTCTCTTTATTCAGATGACTTACTTTATAAGGAAAAGAGTTATGCAGATGCTTGCAAGCATGTGTGCTGGGTGTTAATGTATTATGATCCTATACAAGGCGGTGGCAGCTAGACTTGAGAGCGTTGATCCCTGGTTCATCAAAACCAATTCTCATAAGATGCCTTTTAAGAAGATGCAAGAGGCTAACACTCATGTAAAATACTTGCAATGTTAATTCCAAATGTCAGAGACATTAAATTCACTAAGTGATCGGTCTGTTAAATTGTGTACCACATTACCTCCAATCGGATGTCCCAAGTATGAAAAAATGAAACATGATGGGATAAGATTGCATAAAGGACACCCACGGACGCGTAGGAACGAGTAGCAAGTGGAATCGAGACGCCCTCCAACAACGACATTAGTTCAAACAAAGTCCGTCTCACTGTAAGGCACAAAAGTGCGCAATATACTGCAAGCGTTTATTTGATTATAAGCTAATTCAAATATTGTTGTTAAGCAGTAAACGGCCTTATTGAAATAATTTGTTTTAACTTATGCTGGCAATACAGTGGAAGAGTTCTATCGTCTGAAAGAAGCATAGCAACAAAAAATAAGGATTTCTTGACTAAAGTATGGAGCCTATTTATGATTGTCTTGCTGTTTTTAATGTTTATGGCACTTAACACAAACCGATTGAATATATTGGGGCAACAGCTGTGTTTTATGTCTTCCATTAGACTTATTTTAGTTCGATAAAGTTGGATGTGTCACCATTCAGCCAGGCTGGACTATTTACCGCATAGGAGCAATCACCCTAGTCTTTGTGATACCCCAAAGAATCTGGTACCCTTCCCAGTTAGCTAAATGTTTAGCCGTATGGTTGACTGCAAGTTCCCCAGCCTCTTTTGAGGTGCGCTTTTCCTACAGAATATGGCTTCCGGACTGTTAGTATCTCCTTTGCCCTTGCGTGACGTGTTATACCACAACGCCTCGTCACAAAGGAACCGCAGAATACCGTATATCCCCGTAGTATAGTCCCAAATAGGAGCGCTGAAAATGTCTTGATACAAATATGGGCTTGTCGAAAGCCCACTCGGATCCGTGCATTAGTGTTTATCAGTTAAGTGAGGCTCCCCCGTCACGCAAACCCCATGAATGCAAATACTGGCAGGTCCTCAAGTTCCATGGCATCAAGTTCCGTCATGCTGAGATAGTTGAACTGCAAGCAGTGATATCCCCCCAAGGCCTACGGACAGCAAACAAATGGACTTTTAAGAACGCGCAAAAGCAAAAGGTGGTACCTTGTATTAATACTAGAATAAATGCAGCGTTGCAGCTAAGTATGCACACATCTAGGAGGGTCGGAGTTCCAATGAGGTCGAACACAAACATAAGAATCAAGTGGTCAAATCCATCTGCCGAGTCGCGGAGAGGGGGAAGGGTAGCCACTGTATAAAAGGAGTACTTCAAGAGAGGAAGGGGCGAATGAGGGGATGGGTGTATAAATCTTAATGTTTTTGAGTAGTGAAATGACTCCCCGAAATCAAAAATGCGGCAAGCCAGTAGCTTTCAATGTTTTTCGTTTGGTCTTTTTATACAGAGATGTCAGACATAGGCAATGCAGCAGCATGGCACCTATAGTATGCCCTTTTATCCGATGTTAAGTCTTTACAGTGCAACGTGACACAAACGGGATAGTAAGTAAAATGACGCAGATGGCTTAATTTAATTTGTCGCGCTTGTAGCTCACGGCTAAAATGAAGGGAAAGAGTAGGAAATTAAGCAAAGGCGAAATATTGCCTAAGTGATGAAATAAAGACAAAAAGCGGTGTTTTTATTTGGTGTGGTCGATGTTAATGAGCGAGTTGTTGGCATTCACAAAAAAACGAGGCGAAAGTGGGTCACGATTCAATTTACAAATGCGGACCTTTCACGTTCATCGAACCAACACGAAGAATCACCGTATCCTAACCAAACCCACCTCTAGATGTTATTACAGTTTAAAAAAGACGATGTGGAAGGTAGGCTACAAAGAGCTACAAGTAGTGAACCAGGCTTACGTGGAGCAAACTTTTTGAAGAGAGATTGTACGTAATTCTCCAAATGCGATCCCGCCTTCCAGATGTCAGAGTCAGCGCTATTGTAGAGTTCGGCATTAAAGAACATCTTCGCCAGGTCCTCAGAGAGAAACCTTGGACCCTCGGCGCCCTCGTAACGACCATTTTCAAGCCAACTGTTAATCATAGAAAGGTCTATGGGATCCACCACTATCTCATAGTAGTCGGGTACCTGCAAAGACATTTTTGACGAATAACGAATATCTTGTGTACCCAATACATCTTGGTGAAAAACAAACCCTAGTTAAACTTTGCGACGCGGTTTTGAACAAAAGCCGTTCGATATACATAGGAAATCGCATAGGAATGCATTGTTACATTCCACCATGCCTATGATACTGTGCGAGCATAAAATGTTTCAGTCTTGAAATGCAAAGGCGAAGGTGGGGCTAGAAAATTAAGGGGAATTGTGTCATACCTCTTTCGGGTCAACAGGCTCCTGGAAGGGCCATGAACTGCGGTGTCTTCGGACGGCGGTTATGAGGTCAGCACAGGTGAATTGTGGCGCAATCCTAAGTCGCTTGGCTGGTGGAGCAAAGACCGCTCGCTCATCCGCCTGCTCTTCAGTTGTTTCAGTGTCGTTCGCTCTTTCCTCCTCCTCTACCTCCTCTTCATCTTCTTTTCGTGAATCATCATCCGACTCCTCATCAGAGCTGTCGTCATCATCAGAAATCGGACGCGGTCGCTTCTTCGGTGTTGTCTGGACTCGATGAAGTCGAAGGTAGCTGAAAAGAAAGCGGCAAAACCGAATCAGGAAAAAGCTGGTAATGCACTTTATATACCATGAAAGTCAAATTTAGAAATGTATAAAGGCATATTGAATGAAAGCGGAGCCTGACAAAGAGAAAGAAGGTGATACCTGCTTTTGCGGTTGACCCGACTGGAAGCCCGGAGGCGGAGCGACTGTCCCATGGCAGAGAGACCGCCCGAAACGGAGCGACTGATGCGACACACGGAGCACACCCAGGGGGCGCGTCGGTTCGCCGAGCGCAAGGGCGGGTTGTGGCAGTTTGGATGGAAGGCGTTGGGACAAGTGGAGCAGCCCACCAACTCATCTTCCTCCGTTCCCCCATCGTCACAAACTAGGCATATAGTGTCATTTGACACCGGATTCAGGGAAGAGGCTACAAGGGGAAGGCGATCAGAATACAAACTAGGCTTAGGCTAACGGAATTGTTCAATAAACCCTTTAAGAATGACAATGGATGAAGATCCAACCCTTTATTAAGTGAAAAAATAATAAAGTATTTGTGCTCTAAAGCAATTTCTACACATTTTACAAAAAAGGGTTAAGTCAGTGTCTCACTAGTGAGCTCAAAACATTGGTCTTTGAACCCTATGATTGGTGTGGCAAACAGCATACCTAAAATTGGCTTCGATTCCAACCTCCCATTGGTCACCTGTTGTGGCTATAAAATTTCAAAACTTCCAAAATATGGCACAGTGCGTTTACTATGAAAAAAATAATTGGGCAAAGACAGAAAGCAAAAAAACTAGGAAGGAATCAAATTCATGGTTTAGAAAGTTAATGAAGGCCACCTATTATTTAGGCGCAAAAACCATTTGTTTAGAGTGCAGCATGGAGGGAACATACGAGATTTTGACAGAGTTTTAGAAGGCTGAGACGACCGAGACGAAGATCTTGATATGGGTTGTCCAGTGGAGGGACGGCGCCGTAACCTACTTCTGGGGGAACGCTGTTGCCCCCTCCTCAGACAGACATCCTCCTCCTCCCTTCCGGAGGAGGAGCTCTCATCACCGGAGTCGCTCGCGCTGCTTCGTGCCTCGTCGCTGTCCGACGCCTCTGAGGCCTCTCGGCGATCGCGCCGCTGCTGACTAGTGGTTCCGGAGCAACTGGGCGGCTTGCAGGAGACACAGAACCAGTCACCACTAGGAATCGAGTGCAGTGGTGGACGGAGGCAGTAGAGATGGAAGCCGGAGTTGCATCCATCACAGAGCAACAGACTGTCATCGTCCTTATTGCGGCGGCAGATACGACAACGAATGTTGGCTACTGATTTCTCCCACAGAATGCAGGCGTCAAGACATGCCTGAAAGTGGATAACGCTGCACTTGCAACCCACACGTTTCAGCAAATTTTCATTAAAGTGGTAAATTGCGAGCATATATGTACAAAATACAGAGGAAGTATAATTACGGTGTTATAAACTCTTTTCAAAAGTTCAGGTACGTGAAATATCATGATGTATATGAAAAACTTGGGATTCACCCGAACTAGTATAATGTCAGCAATTACAGTGGAGTACACCCAAGTACAAGAAAAAACAGGATAAAATTTTGTCATGACTCAACAGGGTAAAAACAATACCGATGGGGAAACGAACTCGTGCCTTTGATATTTTCGACCAAATATTAGCATAACCGACCGAATCAAAAAGAAACTAACATGTAGAACATTTAGCCGAGAGAGCGTGGCAGCAGAACGGACAGCTTTGACCCAGGCGTCCATCCAGAGCTCCACATCACCATCGTGTGCGCGATTCTTCTCCGATTCAATAGTCTCGGAACGTTGCCCTTGCCCTCCCTCTTCTTCGCCAATCGCCTTGCGGTCGTCCTCCTCAGGCGCCTGTTCACCATTCTCGTAAATGACCCCATCAACACCATTCTCTCCACGACGCCTGGATGTTTGCTGCAGCCTTAATTTGGGCACACTCAAGAAGCGACGGTGAACGTGCTGACCCACCGCTATAAGAGCCTCCGCCACAGATCGTAGAGGCGTCTTAGATGCAAAAGAGGTTGTGGGAGTGGTGGAGGGAGGGAATACAGCCCCAGGATTCCCCTTTGCGGGAGTGGATGGAACACTACCGGTGAGAGACAAGCAGAGCCCATACTTCGCTTGAATAGCAATGATGTTTGTCATCCAAGCAGAAAAATCTGGAACACCACCAAGTCCGCCGTCACGAAGATGAATTTCAGTTTCGTAGACATTCTATAAAAGGTATTACCAAATTCAATGCGAAGTCCTTCAGAGCAAATAGGGAATTTCATCAAAAAGTAAGCCCACAAATGCCAATTTGGCAGAAAAAAACACCAAGAGCGTTGCTAACTCAAAGCAAAAATCAATGTACAAATATTAAGCCTATTTTCCTGTGCATCAAAAGGAGGATATTTAAGGAGTGACTGCGTTACGCACACCAAGTATGGTTAAGATGGTACTGAACTTGCCTTGAGAAGAACGTTGGCGAGAATAGATTCGGCATCACCGCGCTCTTTGGCAGTGATCGTACTAATAACAACCCTGTTAAAAACAAAAAAAAACAATGGTAAGAGGAGCAAAAGAACTTTAATTTAAGCAGTCTATCGCTTACTCATCAGGTGACATATAAGAAACACTCCTTCCTTCATCTGACTCATTATGGCTTTCTTCGACTTTCGACAGCGTGATCAACTCCTTCACACTATCCAAGAGGCCGGACTGAACAAGGTTCTTCCTCAACTGACTCTCCCGTGCCCCTCTTTCAACAAGAGCGTTGGCCAAAGCGTCCAACTCATCTGGTCGGTCAAACACATACCACTGCGATCGTGCTGCGTAACCGAAACGATGGACTATCTCGTAACTGCCGAGACCTTCGGGGAAGGTATGGGATGGGGGAAATGATGTAACAGCAGATGGCTCCTTTATGAGACTGTCCCCAACATGGTATTCTTCAGGCGCCCAGTTGGACTCAACGAAGAGTCGATTTGGTGCACAGAAGAAACGCCAGTAGCGGCGATCTCGACGATCGGTACCGAGAGCGCCTACACGAAAGGCGAGTTTGGCCTCAGTGGAGGCTATTGTGTGTTCATATTCGGCTTTGGCCAGGGCCTTCTCTTCGGCATCAATTTTGGCCTCCAACTCACGTCGTTCCCGCTCTTTCGCTTCACGAATTCCACGTTCTTCAGCGGCCTTGGCAGCCAAGACACGACGACTTTTGACAATCGAAGCCAAATCATCTGATTCGGGTTCTACAGAGAAGCATGAGGGGATAGTAACATGTGCGCGTTCCTTCATTTGTACCGCTTTGGAGATTAAAGGCTGAATACGTTGTCCCATTTATTGAATCAGTATTACATTTGAGCAATTTAGGCATACAATAAGTGCAAAGTAACACGCATCCAAAAAGCCGAAGAACAATTTAACTCCCATCATTTCCACTTAAGAGAATGATATACATAAAGGCGCCTTATTTTGGGAGAATTAAGACACACTTGAGTAGAATCTCAAGTGCCAAAGCGGCATTTGCAGCTCAAGATTCCATAGCACAGTTAAATCATGCCGGTTTAAGCAACCATATCGTAAATAAAAACGCCCTAAAGCCAAAAATATTTCCCTACTCCTTTTCAGCTCTAGTGCAACACAAATCATTCACCCCAGATAAATTAAGACGAAAATTAGAATTACCCTTTTCAACGGTTGATTTAGCTGCAGAGAGTGCGGGAGGGACAACTGTTCGTTTCTGCTTAGCCAGTGCTAACCGATCCTGCCATGCTTTAATGGCCCTCCTGTTGCACATGTGCATGTACTCGTCCATCGTGTCAAAATCGAGCATCAGCTCAATGAGGACTTCAATGGCTAAAATACGGTGCTCTGTATCCAAGGCAAATAAATCAGCCGAGGTGAGGTGCTTGATAAGACTCGCAGCACCGAGGGCATCCCTAGAGGGCAGTAAGTTGCGCATGCCACTACTATTGGGTACGATTTGGTAAATGCGGGCCACGGCCCGGTCATTTGTTGAGCATGTGTCATTGGCCAATTTGCACTGCAACAGTAGACGCAGGAGTTCCGGAGCCGTGTACGGTGTGATGGGAATTTTAGAGAGTTGGATGCCCAGCTCTGTTTGTTTCTAAAAATTAAAAATGATGACCATCGTCGGCAATGAAAACAACGACAGTAGGTGATCGCGTATAAATGATTTACAATTATTCTATACACACTAACGTACAGAGAACTGTTCACTGAAAAAGAGCAGACGCAACAGTGAGCCCATGGGCCGAGCCAAGCACCGATAGGCTGCAGCGGACATGTGCTGTTCGCTCACGGCTCTGAGCACCCGGTCTAAACTGAGACATCGCAGCCCCTGAACAGACGCCCTAGGAAGCCCGGCGTCAGTTGATGTTAAAGCAGATTCTTCCTCAACATCGGTCGTGAATTCCTCCTCCTTCTCATTATCCGTCATGGAGGGACAGAGATCAGTGGCAAGTTGTTTTATACGAGTGGGATAGAGCATTTCCCCGGGTGAAAGAGCAGACTCTGTTAGCAGAGGCTGATAACAAGCGATGAATTCAGTGAAACTCAAAATGCGACTAAATTGTAGGGAGGTCATATTTGGGGGTAGTGGGAAAGCACGAGGTTCAGGAAGTGGTGCAATCTGGACACCAGTCTCGAGGTAGGGTGCGTTTTCATCAATCAGTGTACGACGCTGTAAACGCAGATCACGCAAGTAGGCCTTTTGCTGTTCAGGGGTCATGTTTTGCCTGCAAGAGGAAGGCTCTTGGGTTAGGAATAACAATAATAATTTCAAATATCAAAACAATAATCAGCGTACCAGAATTTAGTTAGGAATTCATGAGAGATCCAGCCAAGAATGACTAACTGACAAAGGAAGTGGAGCGGTGACGGAAACGAATCCGTCATAAGTCAGTAAAAACTTAAATATAGACTACATGTGGCTATAAACACGAGCATGATAGATGTGTGGAAGACATACATTTTTTTGCGATTTTCAATGGCAATCTTCTTATCAATAACGAGTTTTTGAGCAGCATCAGGAAGGGCCCGAATTTGCGCGTCAGTAAGGAGCGAGACACAACGCGAGACAATCACTTTAAGAGCGTTCGCTTCCACGCTCCCTTTGAGGCTTCGAATAAGACGCTTGGCAATAGGTGGCAGGGTGACATCAGATTTGAGTGATGCATCAGATTTACTCTTCCTCGCAGAGGGTGGAGATCCCATAGACTTTTCAAATGAAAGTATCGCCTGGCGATGAAATGACGATGTGATGAAAAAAAAACGATAGTGCATAGATAGGAGCAATGAGTACACACCTGCTTCATTTTTTTTGACAATTTGCCGTCAGGCGTCTCTTTTGGTTTCAGAGGTACTGCCTCCACAGGACTTCTAGGAGAATCGTTGCGAAGCGCAGACAAGTTCTTGAAAACTCTCAAGCTCTTTGGGGAAAGTTTTATCGCTGTTTCACCACTGGCATCATGCCCCTTGTATTTTTCACTGGTTATCTTTTCATAAAATTTCATTTCATACGTCTCGGAAACCATTCTCAACTACAAAGGGATGTTATTGATAAGGACAGAGTAACCACCTTATCCTTGTCAACAAGATTATTCGACATTTTGAGAGTGGGACAATATTTTCGAAGAGCGACGGGGTCAACGACCCAAGGACCACTTGAAGATGGACCATACCGCATAGCGTGTGCGCGAATGAACATCCTGATGTGGTCTTTCGATGGAGCGCGATGAACACGTCTTGAAGGAAATATCAATTAGTAAACAAAAGCCTTACTGTATGCACTTAGCAGGGACATTATTGACGTTAACAAGTTCATCAGAAACCAACTGAACACTGTATGAGAAATTATCCTACAATATGGCTATACACAGGTGAAGGAAACGAACTTGGGTCACGGTGGACCGTTTGGTATTCACATTATTTTCCTTGTCACTGTTGTTCGGAGAACTGGTTTCATCTTTTGACAAGTCAATAACCACAGGCTTATCGATGGCCTCATCAATACCTAAGATGGTTGCGCGAATTCTAAGAGCTTCAAAGAGAAGTTGGGGCTTACGGTTTGTTTGAGTCAACCTTTAGTAAAACTGGTTCTCCAACGGCAAACCGCTCATGAACCTTAGCCCAGCATGCTTGGGTCAGCGGTTCGAGTGGGGACGTGCCTAAGAGTTTTAATGAAATTATTCGTTTACTTTTGTGAACAATCTGCAAAATAGCGGCACGATAATGGTCCGATATAGATTTCTTCAGAAGATTCAAACTAACATGTTCCGATTTAATGGCTTCTTTGTAAGTCAAATTTGCCCGACCGGTTACCCGACAAGTCCATATCTTGGACTTGTACAATGTTGTTTTTCGTCTCAATTCATCTTCGGAAGAGCAGATTTCCTTTGTATCTGGAACAACAAACTTAAACATAGGAGTGAATTCGCTGCTCTTCCTAGGCTTTTTAACAACAGTGTTCAGAACGTGGAGTCGATTTCCCAGGAGCGGCATGAATACCAGCGATGAAAATCAGACCTAGAATAAAAGAAACCAACAGGAACCGAACCAGTAGGAATTCGATTAGTAAAGGAGTAATACTTCTGGAAAAATACATGTACTTGAAACAGGACCACAATATCGACCGGCTTGTTTTGAAACTAAATGTCCGGAGAACACTCGTATCTTACTGCCATAACTTTGCTCCAAAATTAGCGAATAAAAGCGCCATGAGAATGAACCAAAGTAACCCGCATAAATAAAGAAAATCCTAGTTTTCATGTAAGGGGCGAAGTCGAATCTCAACCAACGGTTAGCATTTGATCTGCTGCTTATTTAAGTAACGGGACGAAGTATGATGATGTGGGTTTCCAACAGGACTGTAAGCAAACGCTTCACAGTAAATTTTAACAAACAGAAAGGAGAACAATTTTGAAGAAGCAAAACACGGGACAGATAATACTAAAAAAGATATCCCCAACACAGCCACCAGAATTCCTGTTTCGAGCGCCAGTATTTGCTCCTACAAAGGACTTTAAAACAAAATGACTGGGCATACTCAGCTTTGACCCCAGCATTTATATAATCGGATGATTCTATTCGGAATTATATTCATTCCATACTTTGTGCGTGCATAGCAGACAAGTAAGCCATGTCAAAATTCGGATTGCAAACACCACCTAACAAAGTCATTTGACTTGCTCAGTATTACGCAAAACACCCCCCATAGTTGGGTTGGACTAAAGCTATAAACAGTCAAAAGGGAAGAGTGCAGATAAAAAGAAAGCTGATTCTTAGCAAAATGAGGCATTTTAACGATATGTGGTAGGTATGTAGTCGAATACATGGCAATCGCATTAAATAAAAAATACCTAATTTAGAGCCATATTTTTGCATGCTCGTAAACTTAAAAAGCGGCTGAATTAAGCAGCCGTTTTGCCTCTGAATGCAAGATAGTGTACTGCGCCATTGGCTTATTCTCATAGACTTATTTCTTAATTGGATTTATATAAATGGGTTAAACCAGCCTGTATTGGAAAGTTTTAAAAGCACGAATGCATTTAACAACTTAAAAGGGCAAGCGGTACAAAATAAAATTAACTGGTCTTTGGTGTTATAAAATTATTGCGTATTATCTACGCATTCCACATAATATTTGAGCATTCTTGTTTTAACCAACATATCTAACTGTAGAATGTTTTGTCAATTTATTAGTGATACTTGTGCCTTCTGGTTGTTTAATATATTCAGTATGCATTTGTGTTGTATTTATATGTTCTAGATACTTGCCTCATCTTATAACACTGGCACTTGGCGTTATGGCCCTGGAGGGTTTTTTCTGTATCCGTATTACCGAATCCTTTTATCAAACTTTACTGCAGAAGGTACTCTTGGTTTAAAATGTCTAATTCTAGGGCGTGAGGCTGTTCTTGGAAGTTACCGGCGGCAACTATGTATGCACTCGCTTATTTGTCGGTGCCGAAGTGCATGTTTTTTCGCATATGGCATTATGTAAAAATTGCTTTTGGTACTTTGCCTTCAATGAGTCGATCTCTTAGATGTCTACCGTCCTGTCTCCTTGGATGCCCAGCATTGTATCTATGTCCGAATTATGCCTTATATTTTATTGAGGATTGTGATGTTTTATTTTTAGAAATTCACAGTAGAGGATGGACACACGGTGAAGCTATTTGAGGTGGAACCTGATTTAACGACAACCGACTTTTCACTTGTTGGCGCTTGTGATAATAATGGGTAATTCTAAAAAATTTTGCGATGTCTTGCACTTTTCCCAACGAATTCAGTTTAGCATGCTGATAGCGTGTAAGCCACCTTTAGTTCCTTCCCCTTATTTGTCGTTTCTAAATATCACTTTTTAAATTTAAGCTTCTTTGCAACTTTGATGGGAAACATTGCGGAGTTTTATGCAACTCCATGGTTTGCTGCTCTCGCTTTTTAAGGTATTTTCCCCTTTATTAAAGTTTGAGTATTTTTTCCGTCTTGTGATTCAGGGTGACTTTTTTGCGTCTGTCTGTTTTTCCCTAATTTTTCTAACAAACCACTCGCAATTGATTGGCGAAATTTCCTTCTTCGACCTAATTTCCCTTTTAGTAAGTGGTGCCATCTGGGTGCCATAAATTCGCGATTGCGTGTTTCGGCGAATTCCGATTCCTTTGATCAGCTGCGTGCTAATGTCATTAAGGCAAAGGAAAGTTATAGGAAAACCAAGTATGTTTCTCTCCTGATATTTCGTTCAAGCTTATAGTTTGACGTCATCTTGTATACGCTGCAGTGGAATGTTTACTCTTTGTATATAAGTAACATTTGTCTACTTGTAGTCTGTAAATATCTGTATCAGTAAAAAAGCCGTATCCCAGTCTGAAACCGTCCAATACTTAGAATGGTCAACTTTATGTTCATCTTCTAAGTTAGTGTATTTCAGACTAAACCGTGTTTCATCCGGTAGCCTGGATGGATGTTGGTATATTGCTGCTGATGTGTCAGTATAGCATTTCCATTAAATTTGAACGCATTTCTTTGAATCAACTAAGTCAAGCAATTTACAGGCACTTAACTACTTCAGTGTGTAATATTGTGAATATTATTTCTATTGCTTTGAGAGAAAATGTATTGGACCATGAAACACGAGTACCTCTGGTGTTTTGCCTCTTACTCTAACATTCATCTAGATAATGCTACTAACTTTAAAATGACATTTTTCTTTTTAAACGGACGCACATACAAATAAGAGATGTTTGAATGCACAGTGGTCGATCGCACTCGTGTTGAGAGTTTATCAAGTCGTCTATGTGTTTTCCCTCACTAACTCGGTTAGTCCAACTAGAGCCTTACTGATAAGTCGTTTTCGCCCATGTCCGCATCATGAATCGTCTAGTAGATCTGATTCAAATAAAGGGGAATTGTAGAAGCTGCCACCGTTTCTTTTTCTCACGATTGTCCAAAAGTGCTTTTTCATCGAGGTTTGCGTGCGCAGCAGTTTTTTTCACCAATTCTCACGCATCCTTGTGCACTCTTTGTAGGTCCAGTAGAAAACACGAGTTCTAGTAATTGAACATCAAAGTAGTTTTTCCTGCCACATCTTCTATGTCACTTTTAGTTACGCATAGCCGAATAATAAAGATTCGGATAGTCTGAATCGAGCTAAAATGCTCTTTTGAACTGTTTGATGTTTTTACTTAAATCAACATTATCTCAGGCACTATGTGCATTCATTCGCATACATTGGATATAAAGTCACTGAGATACCTTATTAACTTACGAGTAATGGCCCGCCATCGGCAAAATTCTTGCTTGTTTCCATATCGAATCTTTAAGCTACCCTACTATCGCCCGTTCCTCGTTGCACTGCCTGTCGTTGAAACGAGGGAGAGTTTTATGTTTTCGGGGTAATAGAATTCTTGTAGGTGGTAGTAGTGCAATCGTTAATCTTGTTTAGAATGGAATAATCTTCAACCCTAGGCGAAGCGTTCCTGATTTTCTCTCTTTGTGTCGTACGTTGCCCTGGTAACCATTGGTTTCATTTCAGATGTTAAAACTGTCTGCGTCCTCCGTTATACAATTTTCTACGCAAATGTATTACCGTTTTACATAGTTGGTGTTGTTAATTATCTACGCTTTTGAGTAATTTTTGCTCAATTTAAAATTCGCAGTTTTCCTGCGTGGAAGGTGAAGTCCTCAAAAGAAGAACGGAATCAGGACGCCTTGTTACCTTTGAAGCGACAGGTGTGTGACAGAGTTGCTGAGTGAAACGGATCCTTACTTTTGCTTACCCAAGTGTTTCTTTTTAGATGATCACCCACATACAGCACGCAGATACGAGCTCTTCGAAGACAGGGTTGGTTTTAGGTTTTTTTGCATTAAATTCCCTTGTACTTTGTGAGTTAGTGACTTACTAAATCAATTTTGTATGTCTGTCCACATTCACTAAGGGCTTCTCTTATTCAACAGTCAAGTTCGTCTTGCGTAGTGATGAAGCATTCAGCCACTGTTAGGTGCGTGGATTCTCTTGTCTACCTGTTTTTCTGTAATAATTATAACAACTTGGCTGCAAATAAGAAAATAGTAAGAGTGGGAGGGAGTAATAGTGGTGATGATAACTTTTGGTTTGTTTAGGTCCCATTCGATAAAGACGCTGTTATTGCTTTATCTGTTGGCGTAAATTTCCTCTTGTTATAGAAGGAATTTGGTCACTTCTTATCAGTAGTTTTGGAAATACACTTACTTTTATTAGCATACAATTTCTTTCCAGTTCTCTTGGAATGATATGAGGTGGTCTCTTTCAAGATTACTTTTTCCCACTGTCTAATTTTAGAAGCCTTTTTTTTTGGAAGGTGTGACGAATTGGTGCTATCGAAGTACTTTCCTTTGCGCACACAAACATCCCCTCATTTCGTCACCTACTGCCGTATTGTATGATTCTCATGTATAAATTATCGAGCTACCAGAGAGGGAGATTGGAATTGCATAATTCACATTGTATTTTGCTGCTAACAGTTGCTACTCTGCAACAATTGGGAGGTTTGGTATATATGCTTTCGGTGTGGTTGTAAACTCATGCCTACCTCCAAATGGTTTGGTCGGATGACTTCTTGTTGCCTATTTTTAGGCATATATCACGTCATTGGTCCCCTTTACCTTTATTCGGAGTGTCGATTGTCATTTGCTGTCTTTTAAACAGTTAGACTTATATTATGCAAAGTGTCACGTCCTTGCGTAATTATCACTGGATCTGAAGCAAGTTATATGCTTTTTGGTGGGTTATCAGAGAGCCAACAAGACAACATTTTCGGTCATTTTTATGCACAGTTAACTCACGTTCTCGTTAGTTTTAAATGTATGATTAAGCACGTTTTGGAAACCCTACAAATACCTTACTTGCGGAATCACTGAATCGTGTTTCAGCAGTGGACAGGTAAATTGATTATCTAGAAATTACACCCAATCTCTTTGTGTGTGTGGGGCAGTCCTTTCGTTGGGTAAAGGTGCATTTTAAAATTAGCATTCTAAACAACGGCACAGGCACGGTAAAAAATTGTTTGTGGAGAAGTTACACTTCTAGAAATACTTCTTCTTCAAACAAAACTTCCCACAGTCGATAAACGAGAGGCTCTAGTTCTGTGCATTATATGGTTAAATATACTTACATCTCCAAACGAAACGTGTCGTTAGTATTTAACAGCTAAAGACTGGTAGATAATCCTTCTTCGATACTGTAAAATAGTTTGTGTTTTCGCATAGACAATAGCATCTTTTTTTCAAAATTTTGTACAATGAAATAAGGAGGTAATGCTGTCTATGCAATTATTTGCTCTTCATAAAGTTCCTGAATGAATTACATATAATTTTCACAGACTCCACTGAAAGAACAAATGAAGCAATCGACCAAGTTACGCGGAAGGTAATCGCGGTTGCAAGTTTTGCTTAGTGGAAAGTGTCCTTTTTACAAGATAGATTTCTATAACAGAAATTGAATGGACGCACAAAGCTTGTTTAAATATTATGATGGATGAAAAAA